AACAATATCTAGTATGTTGGTTTTTGAACAAAATACATGGGTGATGTGATATTCTTAACATATAATAGTGTATTTCTAAGTATTTTGAAGGTGATGTGATATTCTAAAATTCTAAGTACTATCTACGATATTGTTTTTTTAACAAAGTATGTGGGTGATATGATATTCTAAACATATATAAGTGTATTTCTAAATTTTATAAAGGTGATGTGATATTCTAACATTTTAAGCACTATCTTATATGTTGTTTTTTTAACAAATTACATGGGTGGTGTAATATTCTAAACATGAAATAGTGTATTTTTTAATTTTATTAAGGCGATGTGATATTCTAACATTTTAAGCGCTATCTAGTATGTTGTTTTTTTAACAAAAACATGGGTGATGTGATATTCTAAACATGTAATAGTGATTTCTAAATTTTATAAAGGTGATTTAATACTCTAACAATCTAAGCACTATCCAGTATGTTGTTTTTTAACAAAATACATGGGTGATGCAATATTCGAAACTTCAAATAGTGTATGTTTTAATTTTATTAAGGTGATGTGATATCCTAACATTCTAAACACTATATAGATTGTTATTTTTTAACTAATTACATGGGTGATGTGATATTCTAAACAAATAATAGTATATTTCTAATTTTTATTAAAGCGACATGATATTTTAACATTCTAAGCTCTATATAGTTTGTTGTTTTTAAACAAAATACATGGGCGATGTTATATTCTTAACATATGATAGTATATTTTTAAATTTTATTAAAAGGATGTGATGTTCTAACATTCTAAGAACTATCTAGTATGTTTTTTTTAACAAAGTACACAAGTGATGTGATATTCTAAACATATAATACCGGTAGCATGCCATATATTTCTTAATTTCTTTAAGGCTATGTGATATTCTAAGGTTCTAAGCATCAAATACAAATAATTTTTATAACATCAATGAACAATATACATGGGGGATGTGATATTCAAAATATTTGTTTCTTATAGTGTGTAATATATTTCCTAATAATAATAAGGAAATGTCATATTCTAAGTTTTTAAACTAAAAGTGCAATTAATTAGTATGATATTTAAAAACAAAGTACATGGGGGATGTGATATTGTAAACATACAGTGATAGTTAGTAATATATATCTTAATTAATTTGCGGAATGTGGTATTTTAAGGTTCATAGCAGAAAATACAACTAATTTTTATGACATATATGAACAATATACATGGGGAGGGGAGGAGGGAGGTGTGATATTTTAAGTAATATAAAACTGTTAGTTGACAATAGATTTCTTATTTACATCTAAGATTCAAAGCAGCAAATAAGACTATGAAATTTTTAAACAATATACATTGGAATTGTGATATTTTATATATATACCATAAATAATACTGGTAGTTCATAGGGGGTATGACATTCTAAACATATTGATAGTTTTTGGTATAGTTCTTAGTTACACTAAGGGAGTGTAATATTCTAAGCAGCAAATTTAACTAACTTTGACATTTATAAACAATATACATAGGGGATGTGTGTCTAAACATAATACTATAATATGCGTTACATTTCTTAATTTTATTATGAGAAGAGATTTGTTAGGATAGTATTCTAAGATGCTACTCTAAAAGATTTATTAGAATAATATTCTTTTTTTAGGTTTCTTCTTGTTGTCCCTGGCCACTAGCATTATGTTTTGTTGCATGTTATCAGACTTGTATGGTCACTACTTTTGAAGCCTTTCTGACTGAACAATATCCAGCTGTTTGTCATCAATGCCATCCAGGGTTGGAAAAAACCCAGGGTTTTTTAAAAAAACCCAACCCAAATGGGTTTTTTTGGGTTTTATTGGGTTATTTTGGGTTTTATGGGTTTTTTGGGTTTTTTTAAAAACCGATCAAAATACCAAATTTTTATAATTGTATGAGTACAATAATTTTTTTTTTAATTTCATAAATTCACCATCCTATTGCTCCAATGACCACTTCAGTCAAAGGAGCAACTCATTTTTTAAAAATATTTTGTCTCAAACCTTAACATTACCATTTTTACTAACAAACAACATTAACAACTAAAATTTTTAAACAAAGGCGCTGTGCGGAGAAATAGATTGAGCACAGTAATTTCAGCAGAGGTAATTTGAACCCAACCTTCTGGTTGCGAGCCAAATGTTTTACTACTAGTCTACTAGCACATTTTACCAAGAGTGCAAAAAGGGACTCTATCAACTATAAATGATGTTAATTAATTGCACTAAATTAAAAATATGTTCAGAATATTTTTGACTAAAAAAAAATCAGTATAAAAATTATTATGACAATTGAGTTACTCAAAGTTGGTAAGACAATATAAATGTTGCAAACTAGTTTTTTATACTAACATGTTCAACATATCATTTCAAAAACTATTTTGCACAAGTTTACAACATGTAATCAACAAGTTTGCAACATGATGTTGCAACCTTATAAGTTATTATGAATCAAGTTGACTATGAACACTTTTTAAACATTTTTGTATCATAGAAGAAAACTGCTAGCCTAATCACTAGATTTTTTTTATCAGAACATTATATTGTCCAGCTTCCTGAAAAAGTTATCCACCTGATCAACTGGACTGGCAAAAAATGGATTTTTGCCTAAACTTTAGTTGTTCTTAAAATATCTAAAATAAATTTGTTAAGAACCATTACAGTGTCTTTGCCACGAAGTTTTTTTTTTTCCTTGAAGATGTTTTACCGGCTCAGTTTTGCAATGCAAATTGCAAACTGAATCAAAGTAACACATTATACAGCTCTATTGTGTGTGTTTCTTCACTTTTTAGCAACTTGATACTGATGTTAATTTTCAACCTGCTGTTCATAGTCACCCTTGTTGGTGGTACATGTTGTAAACTTGTAGCTGATGCAAAATATTCAAAACCTATCAAAAGACAGATGAGCACGAGTGTCATTTTTACCAACAAATCTTGTCTTTGTGAAATGCATACAAGTTTTCAACATGTTCTCTCATTGAATGAGCAAACATGTTGCAAACTTTCTTGCACATAACTTAATTTTTTTTAAGTTTTAAAGTTGTATGTACTTAAGGACAAATCTAGTAAACTGTAGCATTTTTTTTTTGCCTGACAACTTTCCATTTCTAAACTGTAAATAAAGTTTAATAATTTTTATATATAGTATTTTGCTTGTGGCTTTCTACTGAAATTTGCAGTTTACAACATAAGCTTTAAAAAATAAAAGAGCAAATACCAATATAAAGGAATATAGACATTCGAGAGGAGAATAAAGATACTAAATAACTAGTAATGTCTTGAAATTTAGTTAATAGAATGATTTTTATTTCCTTTATAAGTATTTAACTAATTTAATGTTTTAATACATATTTCAATAACATTTATAATAACTTGCTAAATGTTTAAAAATAATAACAAATAACCAACTTGCGACAAAAACAGATTGATCGGTTTTGGGTATATTCTAAATACCATTATGTATATAAATACAGTGTTTACAAGAGTAATTACAGTATAAAGGTTGCACTTGCTGATAATAAAGCATTTATAAGTGTTAAAATCAAAGTTATCCGTTGTAAAATAGGACATTTTTAAAAAAACCCAGATATATTTTGGGTTTTTTTGGGTTTTATTGGGTTTTTTTAAGGTGGGTTTTTTTGGGTTTTTTTGGGTTGGGTTTTTTTGCCAACCCTAATGCCATCTATATCATGTGATGTAACACTGACTGCTATCACTTTAAAAAAAACAGTTAGTTAAAGTCTTCTTCAATCTGTTTCACTCGTAAGATATTTATATATATTATTATATATATTTTCCATTAAAATAAATACAGAATATCTTACCTTTAAGAGTATTTATAATTTTTTGTCTGATGTTGTCTTTAAGTATCCCAATCTTCAATTGTAGATTGCAGCTACTAATGAAGTTTGTAGGCTACCTATAAGTTTGTAGAATATCTATACTATATCAAGCAGAAACCAAAGCAGTACAACCAGCACTTATTTTTTCAGCACTTATGTTTATCATTATCTTATCCATCCTCCTAAACCAAATATGTTTATTCTTATCCAAATATTCTCCACCCTCTTAAACCAAATATGTTTGTTCTCTACTGATTTCTAGAATGATTGCTTCTGTAATATACTTGTTTCTTTACTATTATACATGTTTCTTTAATTTCTGGTCAAGGTAGAACTTATTATTCTCCACTTTGACATTCTGTTCAAAAACAAAAGTGTTCTCCATAAGTTTCTTTAATTTTTACTAAACTGTTTAATGAGTGCTTGACTGAATCTAAATCTTGACACCTGTCCTCTCTAACTGCTATCCAGTCAGTCTTCTCTCTATTATAAGCAAAGTCTTTGACAATTGATCAACAAATTTCTAACATTCCAACTTGAGTCTAATATTTTACTCCCTGACAATCATTATGGTTTTTGAACTTCTTGTTTTAAGGCCGAATTGCTAACTGTAATGGCATGCTGGTCTTTTCCATAAGCTTGCTTCATGTGACGTATCTGAGAAAGTTTTTGAGGTTATCAAATCATTTCTTTCTAATTGTTTTATTAATGTCATCTTCGAAGGCAACACTCTTCTTTGTTTCCAGTACCTTATGGAGTACCTAAAATGGTTATACTTGGTCCTGTGTTATTTTTTATCTACATTAATGATCTTCCTGACAATCTTACATCTAAAGTGGCTCTATTTGTTGATAAATAAACTTTATACCCCTGTCTAAATAAAAAAACTTATCTCACTTTTGTAACAGCTTGGGGCTTGTAGTGCCTTTTGAATTTTAACTTCAACAAAACTCAGTTGCTTACTTCAACCTAACTCCAATTGTGGTAAAGTTGCATCTCCTTCTATTTTACAAATTTCTACAAATTGTTGCTGCTCAAAGGAGCTATATCTCTAGTTCCATTAACCAAAACTCATTCTCGATTGAATCGTCATTCAGCAAAGTTGCATTTTACTGTATCTGTTCCTGCATGCTCTAAAAATTATATAAACTATTTGTTTATTTTTTTTCTTCGGACTGTATTTATCACAGTCTATTTATTTAAAAAATTGATTATATATTCTGTATTTTATTGAAGTATATCTTTTATTTAGGTTTAGTACGAATCAGCAGTGAACTTATACAGAAATTATCAAACAAGTTGGAAGACTGAAAACTTTGATACACTCAAAAAGTCACTTTTCAAGTTTAATTATTTCCTTTCGAAATTGAATATACAATCAATACCAAATTAGAGTCACAAAGTAAATTTAACTTTCTTAAAGCAATATTTTAAATAAAAAAAATTTAGAAAACTTGAGATTGTTGTTTTGTTTCTTCTTCCTATAAATTAACCTTATTGTTTAGCAACTAAATTTTCTTTTTAATTTATAATGTATTTTAAAAGAAAAATTTGAAAGAAAAAATGTTGTATTTTATAATATTAAAAAAAAAGAACAGGCTAAAACTTTTCTATATTATCTAACTTGTTTTTTTATTATTATTTTGCTTGCATCGTTTGTTATGAATTAGGAAGTATTAATCAAGGAAGAAGAGTATATATACTCTTCTTCCTTGATTAATACTTCCTAATTCATAAAAATACTTTTTGTAACATCAAAAGTATACTTTTTGAAATATTAGGTGAAATTGAGCTTCTTAAATATAAAGACTGTTCTCCTCTCATTTCGGTTTTATAAACTTATTGCTCAGCAGCCGTATTCTCTTCTCTCCGTTAAGCTTTTGTCTGAAATTTCTTTACAATATATCTAAGTAAAGAAATGACGAAAATCTTATTTAAATTTTTTAAAATAAAATTAATACTAAAATAAAATATTTATTTTTAAAAATTTATATTTTTAAAGAACTTTTTTATTAATATCTTTAAAAAGAAATTTTTTACTAACGCTCCGTTAAGCTAGATTAACGTTAACGGAGAGATGAGAATACGGCCCTAGGATAACTAATTAGACGCTGATATAAAAGGAATTAATGAGAATAAAATCAGCAAAAACGTTTATCGTTTTTTTATTATTGTAAATGCTTACTCGACAGTTTCATTAGGCTTTTTTAAAATCATTTTCGTAAATCGACTTTTAGCTTGTAATCTTAATCTGCCTAATCAAAGGCGACAAAAAAATCAGGCACCTTTTTTTTTGAGTAACTCAAACTATTAACCTGGCCAACATTCGAAGCAACTGTGCAACATAGTAACTTTTAATCTTGTTAAAAAGCAAAGAATTTATTGGTTAAAATGAAGTATTGGTTCATTAAACATGAATACATGCAGCACTTAAAGTAGGCCAATTTCTACAAGAATATTTTTATATATGCCATTGCTTTCATTCAGTGCCGTCTCGAAGAGGGGTATAGGGGTGTCATGCCCTCTTAAACGTTTCATATAAGCATTAGAGTTGGCACATTGAGCAAGTGTAGTTGGCAAATTGCAAATATTGAGGACCTTTTTTTTTCTTTTAGGCGCTTTTTGGCAAAAAAAATACATACGACACCTCTCCCTACCTTTTCCTATGGAAAAACTCAATGGGACGGCACTGCTCTGAATTACTATATTTACATAAAATTAAAATAAAACATTGGTTCATTAAATATGAATACCTGCAGCACTTAAAGTAGGCAAATTTCTACAAGAATATTTTTATATATGCCATTGCTTTCATTCAGTGCCGTCTTGAAGGGGGTATAGGGGTGTCATGCCCTTTTGCAAAGTTTGCCACAGCAAATAGATCAGGCAAATTTATCATTAAATTTTGAGAGGATATGGTTGGTATGCATATATGATAAAAACGCATTGAATAAATGATTTTATTCTTAAACACAATGTTATTAAATATGCTTATTGATTTTATTTTTAAATACATTGGGCATCTTCAAGAAGTATCTTTAAAATAGGGCCTATAATTGTGCAACTAGGATATTTAATTAACTAAAAATAACTACTTCATATTCTTCGTGTTTTTTCATAGTACTTTGTACAAAATGTAATCTTTGAATTAAAATTTTATTTTAAAACTCTAATAAAAAGGATTGAAATTCGAAACAGCAGCGACGCATGTTTTTGATGTCTTCGCAACTTTACTTAAAACCAGGGCCGTACCGATAGGGGGTGTGTGGAGGTGTCCATCCCCCTAGATTTTTAATATTTTGTCGGTTAAACAGTATAATGGTAAAGTTGTCGGTAAGATTATAATTTAAAGTATCTTGGAAGATATATTTTCTTGTTGTTTCTGTATTGCAAAAATGTTTTTATATCATCCTTAACGTTAATTTTCAAAAAATAAAAAATTATAAAAAAATTTGTGTCGGTTAATCTGACGATTACACCCCCACCCCTCACCCCACTCAGTCTTTGTATGCTAGATACGACCCTGCTTAAAACAATAATGAAAAATTTAACGAAACAAAGTTATTTTTTGAAAATTAAACTTAAGCAAAAACAAATAATTTTGTATCTTTGTTTTTAATTAAACTATGATTTTTTTTTTTCTTTATGAAAAATCATTGAGGAAGTTGTTATACTACTTTTCAGCAGATTTGTTGTGGTAAAAGTAAAAGATTTGTTTGCCATATAAAAAACTTACTTATTTAAAATGTCTTTTTTCATTAGTGTAAGTATCAACTGTATTTTTAAAGTTTGCCAGGAGAGATGGAATACTGTTGGAAAATTTATCAATTGGAATTAACTTGTACTGTCCCATGAAATAGACATTTTGGAATGTTAAATCACAGTTTAAGACCTAATATTATCAAACTATAATGAGCTATTTATCATTATTATTTTCTCATTAAACTTTATTATTTCTTGTATCTTTTAAATACTTCTTAAATTGCACTATTTAGATTTTACTAAAACTAGGCCTATGTAAAGCCCAATTATCCTGTAAGTAAACTATATAAAAAATTTCTAGAATGACAAGTAATTAATCTGTTGTAATAAAAATAGGTACCTCTTAAGTACATCACCGGTTGTTAGGTGAAGTGTAAATTTTTTTCATAAAGAAATGTTATTAATTGTTAATAGGGTCTTTTGTTGCTTGCTGTTGCAGCGCATTCGGAATGTTTATACCAAATTTAGATGCAGTGCATGCTGCATGCACTGTTGAGATTGAATGGATTTGATATCACTGATTCAGATATTGATAAATTAGGCAATTTTTTAGCAATTGTATCTTTGGTTTATTAGTTTATATTTGAAGCAAGTGAATTTAAAAAAATGCTAACTCAACTCAATTAAAAAACAAAGTCAAATAATTTTTTGATCACTTTTAATGACTGTAAATTTTGAATATGATGCTACAGCAAATAACTTATCTTTATATGGCTTATTATTATTGTTTAAACAGTTTAATTTAAACATTAAAAAAAAAAAACTTTTTAATTAAGCTTAAGATGCACACTGAGGTATTGACACAAGATTTATATCGGTCTAAAAACGCAAAAATTAAAAAAAAATAATAAGATCAATATATTTAAACTGCAAAAAGTAAGAATAAAACATTGATAAATAAATTAAACACGACCTTTAAAAAAAATGCAACACTTGATACAACGACCACATAAAATAAACATTACTAAACAAATTAAACATGACCCTTAAAAAACATATAACTTAATAATGACCATATATACCTAAAAGTAAAAAAAGCATACCCAAAACAAAAAAGTATACCCAAACGAAAGAAAAAAAAGCATACCCAAAAAACACCAAAACAAAATTTTTATAAAAGTGTAAAGCAATTCAATTATAGAAAAAAAGAAAAAGATGTGAACCCATTACTGTTTAAGTTAAAGTTATGGATAATTAAAAGAAATAAATAAACTAGGGCTAATTACTTCTCCAGATAAAAACACTAAATTTTTATCTGTTATATTACATCCAACTAAAATCTTTATATTAACATCTTTCTTTAAAGCAAAGTAATCATTTGCTTGTATAAAAGCTTCCTGAACATCATCGTTGTACTTTATTTCTATAACAACACCAATGTTATTTTTTGATATAATTATATCGGCTCTGCCTTTTTTGCCACTACACTTTGTTGTATATCGCTCAGTGGCAAAATTTGCATTGACAACCTGTAGAGCAATATAGTTTAGCATTGAATGCATTAGGTCTTCATTTCCAAATAATCCAACACTAAGATCTTTATCAAATTTTGAGTATAATTTTAAATGACCAATTAACAAAGAAAGTTTAGGTCCAAAACTTTAAAAAAATTAAAATAGAAGAAATACTACTTTCATCAGCTTCAAAAACATTAAAAAGAATATTTGTCAAATCTTCAAAAAAAGAAGAGGGAACGGTAAAGACATTTTTATAATATTTTAAAAGAATTTTCTGAAACTCGTTTTTAATTTCATTGTTGGGTATACAATACCCATTTAATGATCTAGTATTGGTTAAATAACCAGTAATAAATAAATAAGAAAATAGTAAATCCACTCCCTCATTAGTAACTTCTAATTTGCCTAAATTACTAGTTATAGATTTTAATATTAGAAAATCATTCACACTAAAATCAGTAGTAAGATTACTTATAAACACATTACGATTACCTACCAAGCCTTCTACAACATCTTTAATAACATGATTTTCTAAAAGATTACTAATCAAAAATTCGCCTAAAACTTTATTTTCCCAATATGAGACAAATTTAAGAGGATTAGATATATAATTAACAACTGACCAAACATTATATTTACTAATAAAACATGGGTTATCGTATGTACCAATATTAAACAAATATCCATTATACCAATCTTTTATACAATTTTCATCTTTTTCTAACTTAAAATGATTAAGAAGAATCGTAAGCTCCACCTCAGAAAGTTCATAATATTTTAAGTATTTTTCACTGGTTATATTATGTTTTACTAAGTTATTTAATCCAGATAAAGTTCCACTTTTTAGAATATACTGAACACCAGTAATTACACCCTTTTCTAAACTTTCATAATTTTTGAAAGCAGATTCTAAAATTGATCTGAATAAGTCTGCTACACTTTCAGCATCTTTAGAACTAAACCTAAAGGTAGGCTTTAAGTTTGGATATTAATTAATGAACATGATGCAGCAGCATCATATTCAACAATTAATATCCAAACTTGTTTAGAATGATATGCTCTAAGTAAGACACTAAGTTCTTTAATTGCTATAGGATAAGGAGTGATATGTACTCTTTACCGATGGTAGTTTCATAGTATGGTATATCACTACTTTTCAAATAAGCATAAGTTCTTATTGACAATATTAAGAATTAGTATTAAGAATTGTAACATTTATATTAAATTCAATTTC